ACAAAACTTTGAAGCGTTCACTTGCACTCTTATACAGAGTATAAGTTTAATATATTCTTGAAGAAAGAATAAATTCTTCTTTCGGACACTTAATAATGAGAAATTCTCCAAATTTATGATAAGTATGTTTCAAGACCGTTATCAAAAAAATGTTCTTCATTGAAGATAACCACCGTTTAAAACCACGAGAGCAAATTGAATCGCTTCTTCGTCAGCAGAATGTATTTTTCTCCGTCCGTAGCGAGCGCGTCTATCGACGTCTAGACCCTGAAATTTATACTTTCACAAAGTGTCAGATGCGCGGAATGTCGCTGTAAAATATTACTAAGTCTCGAAGAAGTCCAAAACGTGAGAAAGCCTGACATTCGGTGGAATACAACGAAGTACAGAATATCTGAAAGAGTGTCCTCGGGGAAATAAGCCAATGTTTAAAATATCGCTGGTCCTCGCGCCAGACTTATTCTTGGACCGCCATTTTGAATATATGGGACATTCCGATCGATGAGTGCCTGCTCGATCGTCTCGATATATGAATCATGAAGCGACATAAACGGCGACGCAATGAAATACATCGAAATGCGGGAGGCGCGTCCGTCTCGAAAGTTGACGACTCAGTCACTCGGACGGCCGAGAGCAAAAGTGGCGCGAGCCAATTTGTTTTCCAATTTGAGTTGGCATCGCAGACAGACGGAGACAGAGAGCAGTTCTCTTGCGCGATGCCGGATGAAAATAGAAGAAAGATAGGCTCTCACGTCACTTTCAACGGCTCCTTTGCAACAAATGAGCCATAAATCCCGTCTCTGAAATTTTAAGCTTCCGCAACATTCCAACGCGCGCGCGCGCGCGCGCGCCAACCCTTAAAGACTACGGTGAAATTTCATCTCATGCACTGAGAAAAATATATCCGAAATATCCGATTGTTAATTTCGTTATCCGATCAAATATCCGGTGTATTTAATCGGATATTTGATCGGATAACAAAATTAACAATCGAATATTTCTGATATTCTTCTCCGTGTGAACGCGAACTTTGTTACGATCTTGTTAAATGTTAAATAATTCACTGCTAACAGCAACTTCTGTCCTCTTCATCTAGTAAATAATCAATAATAATAAAACACTCGAATGCATTTTTGATTCGACTTTTCTGATTCCTAAAATAAACAAATATATACACTGAGACGAAACTCCACACCCAACAAAGTGATCTCCTGTGATGACAGGTTTTAAGGGTTGATGAAGAGCGTTTACGATGCGACGAACTAATCTTTCGCGTCATTTCTGTCGGATTAATAACGTTTGCATTGAAATGATTTCTACCGGAATCGTCGGCATTCCACGCGGCGGAAGGAGATGTATCTCGGCTTTCGCGATTGTGAATTTTTCCCGCCACATTGCGGTTCTTGAAATCTATACGCCCGTTGCGGCAGCCGATAACGATACAGCGCGACGCCGGACTGTCGTCGGGAAGAATAATTTAGATGGAGGCCGAATCGTTGAATTATCGCTAATGAAGCCACGCTTGCGAACAATGTAGCGGCTGTTTTCCGACAGGATACGCCGCGCATCACGGTCGTTATCGCGATCTAAAACGGTCCCGCGTCCCAGTCCGTTTTATCTGCGATCCGCCGAGTCTGGACTTCCGCAATTGCGAAACAACAACCGCGCACCAACCGGGGCGTCGCCTCGCTGTTTTCGAATCATCGACACCATCGCGCGCGCGTCCGAATTTTCGCCGCGCGATCAACCGCCAGCCACAATTAGAAAAATAAAAAAAAAAAGGAAAGGACGACTAGGAACTTTCACTGCGTTTCTCTCGACGCTGCTTCCTCCGGTCGATCGTCGACGATCTCGAGCCGAGAGAGAGAGAGAGAGAGAGAGAGAGAGAGAAAGATCTTCCCCGAGAATCGCAATGCCGCAATGCATCGCGCCACCCTTTCGTGCCGTAAATGCGCGATTTCGCGCGATTTCAAATGCGGCTTCGCGTCGCTCTTAATTCAGCTTTTAATCGCACGTAATTTCAAATCGCGCACCTTTGCGGGCCTTTGCGGCCGCAGGCGGCGCCTCGAGTGGCGTGCGATTTCGAAGCGCGGCAAGGCGCGGCGATTTCGCGAGAAAAGCATCCCCCCCTCCCCTCCTCGCGACCTCGACGGCAGGAGAGGATCGCGGTGGGGTGTATTGCCGCGCGGTGTATCGCAAAGCCGCGCAGGGGCGGCGGGCGACGTGTCGAGGAGAAAAGGATCCGCGCCCAGCGGATGCGGGGCCCTGCGACTGCGTGCGTTTGGTTTGTCTCGAAGGCGGATTAATGAACGCTCCCGCGCGCGCGGTGTCGTTACCCTCGTTAAAACGCCAGTTCAGAGTTACGTAAAAGGCGCCGCGTGTATGTGTGCCGTCTGTGCGCTCGCGTTTCGACGCCGCGCGGACGCACAGCCACACGCGAAGGTGAACGCGTGCAGCCGGCGGCGGCGGCTGTCGGATGATGCTGCTGCCGCTGTTGCTGCTGTTGCTGCACGCGAATCCTTAAACGACGCCCCGTGTAAAGACACGCCGTCGCCCCGTGTAAATACGCCACCGTAATAATACGTCTCGTCTGGCGCGATTTAAGCTTCATTACCGGTGCGCGAGCACTCCCGCCGCCCTGTCGAGGTAGAGAGAGAGAGAGAGAGAGAGAGAGAGAGGGGGGAGGCAGGGGGGAGAGAAAAAGAAAAAGACACGCCGACGTTTCCGGTCACGTGCTGCAGCGCGCTGCACTTTGCGCGACGCAAAACGAGACGCGCGAAAGCGACTCGCGCGAAAACTGTCCGATTAAACAAAATCGAGATGGCGCCAACTGAGTGTGTATGTGTGTGTGTGTGTGTGGTCGCTTTTCAAATTTCATCGTCCTTTAATCGCCAGCTCCTTCCCCCTCTCTCTCTTTTCCTCTTTGATTCCTTCGAGAGAGAGAGAGAGAGAGAGAGCATCGCGGTCCTCCGCCGGAGAAACATCCGCTTTTCTCCAACGGAAGCGCAGGAGAATCCGCCGAAGGAGAAGAGGTCCTCGCGAGAAATCTCGAGGACTAGATCGGCGAAATCAACTCCGAAGCGCGCGATCCGATTCATCATGTCCCTTCGCGAGACGCGGCTGATCGACCGTCGTCGACGTCGTCGTCGTCGACGAGCTGCACACTTGCCTTATCTTCAACAAGCACACACGCACGCACGCGCGTGTATTATTCACACTCGCTCGCGCGCACGCGTGCTTGCTTGCATAACGCGTGATACGTAGCTCGCTCGCTCTCTCTCTCTCTTTCTCTCTCTCTCTCTCTCTTTTTCTTTCAGGCCCGTCAGGTATTCGCCCATAACGATACGTTATTCCGCTTGGCTCCTCTCCGGCTTATACACCTCCGGCTGCCCCGCTCTCTCTCTCTCTCTCTCTCTCTCTCTCTCTCTCTCTCTCTCGCTCCACCGTCGGTTCTCCATTTTCATCCCGCGCGCACGAGCGACGTCATTGACCCGCGCGCGTCTCGAATCCTGGCCAGATTGCCGGTCGCGGTTCCTTGCGGAATCACGGCGCGCCGCTCCGGCGCGCGCGCGGCCGCGTCGGCGGAATGGCGCGACGATCCTGAATTTATATCGTGTGTTTAGGTGAGAATTGGTTCTTTATGAGCGACACGTGAGGATACTCGGCGATACACACGCCCCGGCCGATGGTGCTCACGTGTGCTCTGCGTGTATATACGTGTCCCTCCGCCGCCGCCGCCGCCGCCGCGACGACACGTGCGCTCATCTGGCACGGCCAGGAGGTCTCACGACGAGTTCCGCGGGACGAGCGATGAAGTAGCGGCGATACGTGCATCCGTCATCGCGGAAACCGTAACGAATGCGCTGCGGATACCTCGACAGTCTCTGCCTCGAATTTTACGTCTCATAAAAGGAGCCGGAGGGACGATCAAACGGTGGCTCGACGGTGGACTGTTATCGCCGATCACGTCGCTCGAAGCGTTTCCCGATTAACCCCTCGAGCGCGGTCGAAAGGCGGCGTGAAGCATGCGAGTTTGGGCACAATGAACTTTAATGAACTTCAGAGCGCGACCGATGGTCGATAAGTGAACGAATTAGTCAGAAATGAGTTCTCTCTCTCTCTCTCTCTCTCTCTCTCTCTCTCTCTCTCTCTCTCTCTCTCACTGGACCGCACTGCAACATTCATGCTTCTGTCTAATATGGTTTCGCTCGTATTTATACGCCATTACAGAGAAGAGAGGTATAAAGAGGAAAAAGATTCAGTGGTTACGCGAATGATACAATGATCTAAGTTCTCTTGCTACTTTTATCAGTATCTAATTTGTTCATTTGTATCGGGATAGAGAGTTGCCCTGTTCTTTTTCTTTTTAGCTTTTTCTCCGTTTACCTTTAATTTCATATTTCACCGTTCGAGACGATTTTTGTCAACGTATCAAGTAAGACATGTATCAACTTAAGATAATTCCGGACTTTTCAAATGGCATGTTACTTCTTACCGTTTATATTTTTGCATTATTTTATGAGATGTGTTACGCGAAGGAGATGGCAGGCATCAGGTGCATAAAAACGGTGCAATTGTCGCTTAATAAAGTTTTGACGACGCAACATTTTAGCGACGGTGATAAACAAGATAAAAAAAAAATTCAACAAGCCATTATCTTCAGTTTCGCGACAAGCTATTTTTTTTCACCGCTCCAGTCGACCCAGAAATGCTCCGCTCTCATTCGACTCCAAAGTACGCCGCATTCGAAAGGTTAAACAGTGATTCGCTTGACGCGCTTCAATGATACGATTATATTTTATCTGTTACATACGCTCTCGCCTGGCCGCTCGAGCCGGCCTCTCCTCACACGACTTCTTGACTTCGCAATCTCCGAGTTACTTTACAGTTACTGCGCGAGTTACTGCGTTTATATCACGCCGCGAGTGACACCGGCCGATAAGCAACCGTGAGAGGTCTTCGAAAAATTCCAAGACTACAATTCCGCTTCGCTCTTTCAGGACGATGACTTGATTTTCGATCCAGACGGCAAACAGCTCACGGCGCAGACGCCGTTGATCGAGACGCAGCAGGATCAGTCCCTTTTACACAGGATAAAGAGAGGACTTTGGAGCTTTTTCGGCTCACCGGCCAGCACGACCACAACAACCACGACGCAAGCGCCTCCAGGTATTATCGGGGTCAACCTAAAAATTCCTTTCGATTCTCCGATGCAACTTCACTCTATTTCCGTCGATAAAAACAAATCGCTAATCAACCGATGCTCACCGCCATCGTGGTCTATCCTCTTGCGAAAGTGGATATCTAAACTATTTGCAGACGTGTCTCACTCTTTTCTATGTATGTCGTTAGAAAGTGATTTAGCGTCGAGAAAGACGGAAAATCAATCCGACCTCTTATTGGCCGACTCGACATAATTGGTGGAAACTATATCGGCGTAAATCCGTTATCTTGCAAATCTTCTACCGCTAAAGTCTCCGAAAACGCGTGCGTCTTCTAAAGTGCTCGACTTTTATTCGATAGATCAAGAGCAGACGATACACCAAGATCAAAGCCTAGATCAACAAGAAGATCAAGATCAAGATATCGACGAGTCGGTCTTTGTCAACACCAAGGACGGAAACCATACAGTCGTTCAGCCGGAAGAGTCGAGCGTCGAGAACGGCGTCATCGAGAGATTGACTCTCAACAATGGCGACGGCGACGACAACGGCGAAGAGGACGAGGTATAGAAGCTGAAACTGTTGAAAACTCCCCAAGTTGAAATTCCGATCCTACTTTGGACCTCAGTATTCCATCTAATACTAATCTGATGCTCTAAAACCATCAGTATCTTCTGCTTTAACTTATGCTTTCGTCGAGAAACTTTTTCAAGAACTTACAAATAACACAACTGCGCGCCATTTTGAGGACTTTTTCTCTCTTTTAATTATCTGAATTAAATCTCAGTAAATGCGCACAGATTACTGCTGCCAATTCCGGAATCTTCAACCTTTACACATGTTATCAAGGACATGACGTACCCAACGACAAACTCCAAAAGATTTTAGTCGTCGTTCACTGTTCATTAAAAAATTATTAACAGAATCTGTTAATCACAGTAGATGCGCGTACAAAACACGGGGAGCGGGGAAGGAGCACTCCCACCCCCAAAGAACTTACTCAACCCTAGCCTCTATTATTGTAACTTTGATTTTTACACGATATAAAATTCTAATACAGTACGCTCATTTCTCCAAACTTTTTTGTTAGTAATTTTTTTTATAAAGCAGCGACCGTTTAAGACCTTTTGGAGGTCAAGGACGTGTCCTTCATATTTCAAGGTCGGAGATATCAAGGGTGGCAGCAGTAATCTGTTGCTGCCCGTTTGTCGTCCTTTGTCGCGTCAATCGTACAATTTGTGTCGTGTGTCCTTGCAGCACAATAACGAAGTGGAAGATGTCGCGGAGAGTCGGAGGATGCCGGTGATATACGGAAACAGCGACGACGAGGACCTGGCCGGCTCGGGAGATATCGAAGGCAGTGCGGGTGAAACGGACCTGGACAACCGTGTTCACGCGGAAGACCGGCATACCAACGTCGTCGGTCCAGCGAGTAAGTATCCGGCTCTCTCTCTCTCTCTCTCTCTCTCTCTCTCTCTCTCTCTCTCTCTCTCTCTCTCTCTCCCTCTCCCTCTCCCTCTCCCTCTCCCTCTCTCTCTCTCTCTCTCTCTCTCTCTCTCTCTCTCTCTCTCTCTCTCTCTATAGAGAGACCGCCGTTCGCGCGCATTGAAGCTGCTTACCACCGCCGCCATGTTGGATAGTCGAGAAGCGAGAAGCGAGACGCTGAAAATGCCGGCGGTCTCTCAAGTATTCCTCTCGCACGAGTATCTTTTTATTCGGAAATGGCACGCAAGAATTTTAAGCCTGCATTTCCTCGCTTCTGACGTCATCAACCACGAGTGACACTGGACGGAGGGACCTTAACGCTAAAAAGTACCGACGGTTAACCCGACCTATTTCTACCGGAGCGGTCGAAGCGACAGGTTTTTGTAAAAGAATTCGTTTAGCAAAGGCTAAAATGTTCATTCGTTTCTTTCAGTTTTATGCAAGGTCCGTGAAAAAGATACAAAGTGCATCGCTCTGTAGACTCGAATAATTTTTCCATGAAATCGCAAGCTGGTTATTTCTCGGTTAATTCTCATGTTAACCGCGTTCGCTTATTATTTTAGCGGATTTCCACTTATTATTTTAGCGAATTATTTGAGCTCGATTCGAGCGATCGTCAAACACGCGGGAAATCGAGGTAACTCGCATATACGTGTTTTGCGCTCGTTTTATTTTGCGTTATTAATAACGACACGTTGTTTTACATCCGGCCAAGCTCTCGCTTCCGCGCATCGACGAAGAGGCTCTTTCCCTCGGAAAGATGTCAAAGGCGATTCAGCATCGTTCCCGATAGCAATAGCGAAATTGTTTGCTCCGCTTCTCACTTGCCGCTTATTTTTGCAATCATCGTCGCTAACATCGCGCTGACTTCTTACAGGATTCTATCGGGTCACCCTGACAGTCAGCGAGCCCTACAGGCGGGAATACTCCGACAGAAACAGCCCCGAGTACCGCGAGCTGAGCAACAATCTCACCAAGGCCATCGAGAACTTGTACAATCGTCACATTCCGAATTACAATTATTTCGCGAACGTCGTCAAGATATCGTAAGTACGATCATCTGCGCGCCTGCGCGAATGGTACTCCCTAGAGTTCTGCACGAAAATGGTCCAAAATATCTACGGCTTGAGCCGAAATGTTCACCCTCACTTCCGACCTCGATATTCCGCTTGACGCTAATTTGATATCTCGAAGCCTACATCGACTTATCCTGATTCCTTGCCGAGGAAATTCTCGAGAATCTACAAGTGACAAGTTGGGCGTCTGCCACTTCTAGGCGCAAAGAGTATGGGGGACTTGTATTCCTATATATAAATTAAATCTCCATTCGTCCTGGCAGGATTTGCAAATGTTATACGAGTGAAAGATAAGGTCGAAATTTCGACTGTCAGTCATTCATAAACTTCAATCCGTGTCGAAATTTCGATCCTATTTTCAACTTTAATTCCATTTACCGCGAACTTCATATGTTGAAACCTGTAATATTTCATTTATCACTATCTTCATACTCCGAAACCTATATCAATCAATCAATCTTGATTCTATTTAATCTACAATTTTGCCGAGAGACCTAAAAAATGGCAAATTGTATCATGTGGCCAATTTTCTGCCACTTGGAGGCGCGCTGACTAGAACTTTCCAATTTCTATTCGTAAACTCCACTCGTCCTGCGGACGAGGATTTGTAAATGCCAAGTGTTTTGGCTCGAAAATAGGATCAAAATCCCGATTCGAGCGCTCTCTTATTCATAGAAGTAGGAAACTAGAAATGTTTATAAAACTTGGACACAGACGGGTGCACAGACTATGAGCGCTCTGTGTTATTCTGGTACGTTTAGTGTGCCATTCACCGATCGTCGGTGAATACTCGTTTTATTGTTCCCGCCGGAAGCAGTTTCGTCGGTTGTTCGCTTTAAGAGTGCGCGAGCGAATATACGATATGAGCTACACGCGTAGACGATGACTCGATTCTCGCTTGATCCAAAAGGCGCCAACTAGAAATCTCAGAGTTCGATGAAACGACTAACTTCGGTGTCGACTCGCGTATTGATCAAGTCCCAATTTTCGACTGTCCGATATGATCTTTACGCGAAGATTCTTCTAAGAAGAACGGGTTGTGAAACAGGACAGGCGTCTTCGAGTCGACGGTCATAGTCAGATTTTCTATTAAAAATCTATTAAATATCATTCTATTAAAAATCGTTCCAAGTCCATCTTCAGACACTCCGTAGCCAGTGAAGCAACAACTTGTACAGCATCTGAAGATAGACCTCAGACAATCTTAGGTGGAAGAAGATTCGACTATGAATGGCCGGCCTTGCCTTGGGTTTGCCTCGTTTTGACGAAGGACGAAGGACGGTTGTCCGCGAATTATTCAATTATTGTCAAGGTAGAAAATTGAGATTAAGATGAATGACACGCGCCAATTAGGACGGATGCAAGTCGGACGACCGATTGCATCGGTGCAGAACTCTAGAAGTCCTCTCAACGCCGAGCGTTTCGTCAACAGCCGTCATCACTACGCTTTCCTTTCCAGGCCCACGTCCGACGCTTTCACGTCCCAAGTCACCCTCGACATCGGCTCGACGTTCACGGACGAGCACAAGGTGCGCGACGTCCTCGAGCAACAGCTGCTGCAGTACCACTCCTTGGGCAGCATCCAAGTAGGTCCTGAGGGATTCAGCTTCAGGATATTCCAAGGTACCAAGCGCCCGTCGTCGGCGGCGGCGGCGGCGGCGGCTGCCTAACGACTGGAAATGATCGATTTCACGTCGGAGAACGAGAAGCTAAACTTCGTAATTCGCCGGCTCGCCCGCGACGCCTCCGCGGCCTCTTACCGGGAAACTTTGAATACGCCGAGGTGCGCGAAGACTCGCTCGCTCGCGCTGAATATCGGACTGTCGGATTCTCAGCTGTCAAAATTGATTAACGACGGCGCGCGAGAGATCCCACGGACGCAACAATCGCGGCGACGAATGATGTATTTAACGTCAGGAGGCGGAATCGATCATTTCGCCGGAGGCACGCGTGATTCGCGGAGGCTCGCCGGTGCATTAGAATGCGAGTAGATGTGCACGCGTGGGAATGCAAACTCGTCGTCGCGAGTTCGGCCTCGCGACCGCGAGATTATTCGCCACCCTCCGCGCCCGCGGTCCAGTTTTATCTTTCATTTCGATCGATGTGTAGCTTTCGTTGGAGTCTCATTAGTTCGCGCGGCTCGTCTAGGGTTGCCAACCGCCCGGTTTCGACCCGGACTGTCAGGGTTTTCAGAAGTCTTGTCCAGTGTTCCGGTTAACAAGTCACAAACCGGATGTCATGTGTCCGTCGGTTTTTAAGTTATATCCAATCAATGGAATGAGAGAGATCAGATTTTAGCGACGTTTCTCCGTTTCAAGCGCCTGCAAACGATCGAGCGGCACGAAAAGCCATCTGGTGGCCAAATGGGGATCCGCCGAACCATCATTCCATATATATTAAAAAAGTAATAGTTTATTATTAATTTATCCAATCAAATCTTGTTCATAAAATTGTTTGGAAATTAATATTGTAAATAAATTCTTGTCATATTTTGTCGTATTTAATGCAACGTTATGATTATTATTTCTGTCCGGTTTAGTTCGCTTTGGGTTTGTTACCAAAGAAGAAATGTCCGGTAATTTTAACCTTTGGACTTGGCAACCCTAGGCTCGTCTCGCTGTTCTCTTCACCCCTCCCCCCGCCCCCCTCCCCCTGACTAGCTAGCCAGCGCCAGCCAGCCCGGTTTCTTCCCTAAACCTCGATTATCTCTTACGTTCTTATTAATTACGTGCTCCCCTTTTGTTTTGCACCTCCCTCCGAACGCCCACGTCGACGGCGCACGATCCGCTTTTGCGCGCGATTCCATTCCTGAAACTGCGAACACACGCAAACGCCCCGGACGACGCCCGGCCGGGGGGAGCAGCCGGCGAGAAAGACACAGAGCCGGAATGCGATCAGTCGGCCGAGTTAATGTGCAAGAGCGGTGCATGCGTGCCGTTAGAGTCGCGCTGCGACGGCGTGTTGCAGTGCGACGACGGCTCAGACGAGGACAACTGCCCGACGGAGCTGACCAGCAAGATCAACGAAGACGGTAAGTACGCGACATCCTCCCGACAGCGACTGCGGAGCCGAATCCTTCGCGCTCCTTCGCGACGCTTGTCCGCACACGAAGAGAGTGTTATAGCGGAGACCAGTCTACTGCAAACTTCTCGCTCGCTGCATGTGCGTCTTCCCTTGCTCTTCCTTCGTTTCCTTGTTCCCTTTTGTTGTTTCTTTTCTCTTCTTCTTCTCTCGGTCTTGCGTCGAGCAAAATGTCGAATTTTCCAAGTCGACATACCGACCCTCTTCTGCTTAAATGTGTTATTAAATATCGCATGTTTTATGCATACGATATTTCAACAGGATTGATTAACAGGACGATGTTCATTGATTGTTGCAAAGCTCGATGAAAGATTGAATAACTACAAGTACGTTAAATAATAGTCGACTATATTTGTCGCTTAGAATTGTCACTTTGTTTCATTGGCTGTCTGTTGACAGCGCATCTAATTTATCGGATGCGATTAATTAGGCTTTACAAGTAAATTACCAGCAGTATCGTAACACCGAAAACCAATTATCACGATGGCAGTCAACGTTAATTAAAACATTTACTGCATAGAGAAAAATACCGATTACTCAGTTTGCTCTCCTGCTTTTAAATAACGGTTATCGTCACAACGGAGAATATTCATTGCAAATTTTACGAGAAAGCTCATTTTCATGTAATCGAAAAAAAGAATGTATCCTTCTTCCCAAGAAATTTATAAGACTTGCAAAATATATAAATAATATAGAGAAACAGACCGAATCCTTTTTCTGTCAACTCGATATTTTTATATGAATCTAAAATATTTGTGATTAGCATTAATTAATTAAAAGATTCAGAATGTACTTTGAGTAAATTTGACGCTAATATAATAAACTTGCGGATTTGGAGAAGCATAAATTTATGAAATAATTGAGATAAGTAACAATTTTCATTTCATATTCTTATCTCTCTTTAGTATTCTTGGGTTGAAATTAGTAAACTGGCTGGAACTCAGGAAATATACCTTGAAGAAATCCGATGAACTCGTGATAGATCTCGCGGGTATCTTTAATAAGTTACGAAATACTCGAAACAAGTAACATTCTTATTGACTTTATTTGAACGCGGCATTTTTCTATGTACCTTTCCCTTGCATGGCAGCAAAATGTTCACCAAAGTGTTCCTTGGCGAGACAAACTCAACGGCCTATTTCTGCGCTACTAGAAGACGCGGAAAGATCCTTCCAATCGAAGGGCATTGATGACTGGCTATAACATTCTCTCCGTGTGCAATCTGCACAATTCGTCTCAATCGCTTCTTCTGGCTTCTCGAGGTCGCGGCGCGACTTCGCGTGTACAGACCAACGAAACACATACAGAGCGCCCCTCATACGCTGTAAAATCGTTGCGATCAATCATGTCTCGCATCGTTCGAATGCGCTATCCTTGGAGTGTCCTGCCGGAGACCCAAGGAGCGAGGCGCGTTACGGTCCTCTTCGTCGACTCTTTCTCTCTCTCTCTCTCTCTCTCTCTCTCTTTCTCTATCTCTCTCTAACACGATCGGCCTTTCACCTCGCGCCGGTGAACACCAATTGCTGATGTACGCGACATGTAGATACGACCTCGGACCTGCCGACGGAGACCCCGGGTGACAACAAGGACGATGAGGAAATTGCGCACTCTACCCTGAGGCCGTTCTCAAACACGTGTCGCGCCGACGACACCATACGCTGCTCCGACGGCAGCCGTTACATCTGCTCGGTGCAGGAGTGCGACGGTGTTCAGGATTGCGATGACGGCGGCGACGAGCTCAACTGCTCGGGAGGTACAGGTACAGGTTGAGCCGGACGGATCCTCGGCGAGGATCAGGCTCGAAATGCTCGAAAACAGGTCGGCGACACGGAAGGACGAGCATTGTCTTCCGATAAACATCAGCTAACGCTAACGTTCGAATTTCTCGTTCGCGCGGGGAAAATTGTCCGGATGAGCCGATTCTCTGGCGAGATATAAGCGACTCGGAAATTCCTATTGAAGATACCGGAATACTCGGTTGAAGTTAACCAGGAAGTTACCAGGAAACTTGATCATTTAGGCCGAATTCTGGTAACTTCAAGCGGAATTTCTGGATCATTCGTATCTCAGCAGAAAATCGCCTCGTGCACTAAACATTTTTCTTCCTACGACAATGAAACTGTTACGCAAGTTACAAGGTTGACTGGGTTGAAGTTACAAGATTGGCGTTGCTTGATGTTTACCGGATTGTCGTTTCGACGAATACCATAAATGTGGCACGGAGAAGGAAGCAAAGACGCCTGCCTCCTTTTGCTCGAGGGGAACAGAGTGCCTGTTTCTTAGAATCGATTTTGCTTATAATTTCCGGCTCATAAGAACTGGAAATTTCGTTTTCTCCAACCGAAACGCACTTAGTGGTCCATCTCTTGTATCAATTCAATCAATATCTCTTCTTAGTGCATTTTCTCGCGACAGAATGCACTCTCAATATCAACATTCGAAATTCAAATATCGTTCGCTCTTTTCAACCGCCATTTGCATTACTAACGGATTTCAAAATAGAATGCGCGTAGAAACAAATCAGTTTGATTTAACGTGACAAAATGAAGAAGGAATCGGGCAATCGAGGGGGGGGGGAAATTCCTTTTGGTTGCACACATTGTTTCGAAAAATCATAATCCCGATTTTCGGAAAATGGGACAATCCCAATAATAATCCCAAAGTATACAATGTTCCGAAGAGGTATCGTTGAAAAAAAGTACACACACACAATCTTAATACCTGCTCATTTGAATACACTCTATTCCACACTGAGGAAAATATCCGATTGTTAATTTCGTTATCCGATCAAATATCCGGTGTATTTAATCGGACATTTGATCGGATAACAAAATTAACAATCAGATATTTCTGATATTTTTCTCCGTGCAATGAGTAAGTTATTAATGCAGATCTAGATTCAACGAGACAGTCCATTATTTCAATAAAAACTGTATTTTGCTACATTACCCCGATATTCGGATTACGGTATTTATTACGACTTCTCAAACGAATTGCTCCGCTTTGTAAATTTTAATAATTTCTCTCGAGACAATTCACGCCCATCAGAAATGTACTCAAGTCACTAAATGTCATTCTTCCAACGTTAAATTCACGTGAAATGTAATAAAACGGATAAAAACGCGCAATTTTTGGACGTAAAATCCTACGTCGAGGTGGATTGCGCGCGGAGATACGTCCGTTGCTGTGATAACTGTCAGGCGGAATGATCGGATATGTTCGCTTTCGGATTAACGCAAATGGGTTAACTATCAATAGCCGTTCGTCGATCGTTCGCGGCGATCTTGGCTTCTCTGCATTCTTGATTTTTCCCTCCCTCCCCACCCCCCCCCCGCTCCCTTTCTCTCTCTCTCTCTCTATTTCAAGCAAATCGACGCGAGTCTCGAATTTATCGCGTAACGCAAGTGCCGAGAGGCTCCGATAGAACCTGAAAAAGCCGCGAATCAAATGAATGAGGCGTTGTACCCGTCGAGATGACGAATGCGGTCCTTCTGGCAAAACACGCGTGTTCAACGCGTCTCTTTCTCTCCCTGACACACTGATAATAGATATACATACATCACGCTTCTTTACTACGCTTTTTTACACGAACGCGAGACCCGAGAATTTGTCGAATTCTAGCGCAATTTCGGCAATGTCGCATGTGTATATAGTTGTACATAAGGAATTCTTAAGAAGACCAATTCGTTGAGAATTTTTAAGGATTCCTTCTGGCAAAACACGCATCTTGTATAAATGTAAATATACGATCGTAGTTCGTAAGCCTCGTTATGCAATATGTAATATGCTAATATGCGTTATGTAATATGCTTCTCTCATCGTCGAAGCACACCGAGATGCTGGCGTCAGTCGTGCGTATCTTTTTTCCTTTCTATCACTCGCGATATTTCGAAATCTCTAAAATTCTAAAATTTCGCAACTTTGTGAAACGTATCGCGACAGTCGTGAATGCGGCACAGCGGGAGTAGCGATAATGTAACGTTAACGTTTCACAGGCTGCGACGCCGGCGAATTCGCCTGCGACGTCAACAGATGCATCCTGGAGCAGCAACGGTGCAATTTCATTAAGGATTGCCAGGATGGCAGCGACGAGCACGACTGTCATTATCCCGGTAAGTACTGCGACTTTCTTAATTTATTATTATCGAGCGGAGACTTTGTGCGATTTCGCGGTGAGCAGCTTTAACTCTCACCGCGAAATTTCATTCAAATGTCGCGACGCTGCATAGTGGAAAAGCCCGCACTTGCTGTCGCGCCTGTCAAAAAAAGACCGCAACGTTGCGAACGACGCAACGCGAGAGCGAATTCGCTCGATGACTGATTGCGTAATTAAAAAGTACACGCGGAGAAAATAAACTCCGATTCGTCGAACAGATGAATTTCTGTTGCTGGAGACCGGATGAAAGCTTAATCATCAACAGGAGCGGAAAGATTCCAGGAAGGTTTGGAAAATAATAAGAATATAAAATTAACGCCTTGACTTTTTACAAAAAGAAGTCAAGTCATCAGAGTGCCTCGTTCCACTCGATTACGCTATAAAAACGCCGTGTACAAACTTTTAAAAAGCTTCTATACTACTCATTTGAGCAAATATCGCGGCGTTTTGAGGACGCAGCTTATTTTTTTAGAAAGATTCTCTTAGAAGAAATCTTTTTCCGGTCAGTCAATCGTCTATTCTCAATTATCTCTCAACCCAGTTTTGCCGCGGCTGAATGTTTAAACGGATATTTTCGGTCGTAATAACAGAGATATCGTTTCTCTGTTATTCTGTCATTATTACCAACTCGCGAGAACAATCTCAATCGCTGACTGACATTTTGTTTCCCGTTCATAAAAAATCTGCCCAGAATTAAAAAGAAATTCAGTTCGTGTAAAACTGGATTTCCCGAATTTTTTACCGAAGATCAGATGAAAACTCGATTGTGGAAACAGAATATTTGCCGCTTCTCCTGACTGAGAGTCGTTTCTAATTTATAATTTATGTAGAAGTGCAGTAATCAAACAATTTGCACCTGCGTGCACGACAAACATATGCAAAAAGAACGATCCGTAAAATTGGCTCTTATCGTCCTTTACATTATTAGTCGATATAATTACATTATATTATTATACCACCTAATACTAATATATTTGTTATTATATTGTTGATGCGACGTGAGTTGTGTTTTACATCAACTTTATGAGTTCTGTATATCGGTATTATCACATTATATTATCAGCAAGATCGCTGTAGAAGATTTCCACTCGGTCAGTAACTTTCGGCGAGTAAAGCTTCTCGATCGAGTCTGAACGCAGCCGCGTGTCCGCAGACGAGTGCTTTCGCTCGCGATAGCAAACCTCGCCCCTCGTCGCTCGTCGATTTTCATGCTCACCCCGCGAGAATTGCCGCGCAAGAAACACGAGCTCGATCTCCGGAGCGTCCGGAGATTTTACCGACCGTTGCGCGCGTTCCATCCGGCGGCTCCCGTTATCTTTCAACTTTGTGTTTTACCCACGACCGCTGGCTTATCAGGCACAGCCCGAAAGCCCGGCGGGTAGATGCAACACAGAGTCTGTTCTACCGACCCGGAGGGGATCGATACGCCCGTCGTCGTAACCCTCGGGGGCGCGCTTGCACCCCCGTCGGAGGGTGGCTGGCTCATCGAAAGATCGACGCGCGATCCGCCGGGACACTCCCGGGGCTAATTCAGCTAATTTGAATCCCTCTTCGCTGGCGTCGGCCGCAAATTTCCGGCGACGTGTCTCTCCTCTCGAGCGAACGACGAAAGCGAGAGACGAGGGCGAGAGCCGCCAGTTCTTTCGCGCACCCCTTTCCCGCCCCGCCGCGCGCGCTCATTCTCTCTCTCTCTCTCTCTCTCTCTCTCTCTCGTCTTCTTTTTAAGCAGAGCGACGGAAGTTGCGGTTTTCTCGTCGCGGGAAAATAAGGTCGGACGCGGAGAAGCCGCGCGCGCGGCCAGGATGCACCCTACTGAATATTCAAAGCTCAAGGGCTTTTTTCCTGCCTCTCCTCTCGCCGCAGTCCGTGGCGCGTCCTCCGGCCTTTTTTTTCCCGCGGCTTCCGCAGCCTCGAGTGGAGGACGATCGTGGTCAACAACGTGGAAGCACCGGAAGCCGGCCGATGTGCAAAGCCCAGCCGATTGCGGCCACACGTACGCGCGCGCTTTGTTGCGCGAGAGAGCCGGCTTAATTAGACAGCCGCGCTGTGCTATCGGCTCGCTGAATTATGTCGCCGCGCGTCTTTCCCGCGGAAATTGCAAAAAACCCGGCATTGTCGCGACTTGCGCCTTATTCGATCACCATGTTGTAATTTGCCGCGCGTGTTTCGTTAATACGTTTAGTTCGCGACACGTTGAGAGCGGAGCGCGGCGAACCTCCGATAACGCGGCGGCGATCTCGCAGCAAACGTTATGTCGAACGAGCGCGCGCGCGCAAACACAATCGCGCCGCATTTTTCACATTTCTCGCACACATAGATTTCATACGTATAAATGTGTGTGTTTTACCATATTTAGCGAGGAACCTATCAGAGAAATCTTTCCGCGGGCCCGCCGCGCACATTTTCAAGGCTCTAAATTCAGCGTTTAAGATTGATAAGGATTCATAGTCAGGTCCTTATTAAGTTACCTTATGGAATCCTTATTACGTTTCTTTTTTTCAAATTATGGCTTCTGATTACTCGCCGCACGGCTATATCGGACGATGACATTAGAAATAAGAAATGACACGCTGAGAATTCTTTCATGTCACTTCCAAATGAAAAAGATATTTGCATGAAATAATGTCTCAGATCGCTTGAGCATGCTTGTAAAATATTTCGGAAAAGAAGCATAAAATGAATATCATAACATCATAAAGTATCACAAGGTGACAACAAGACGTAAAGTAGTGTTGAAGAGAAAAGTTGCATGTCGCGTTAATTTTACAACTATTTATTGACTGCTAAAAAAGGATAGTTTCTATAGCATTTCACAAATATATTCAAGTGATCTGAAGTGTTTTTTCAATGCAAAAACATCTTTATATTTGGGAATGACACCCGAAAATGCTTTTGTTAAAACTAGATAATGCAAATCATATTAGGTACAATGAGTAAGATCCCGACAAGGACCTGATTAACTGAACAATATTATATCATACACTAGGTTGGTTACATTAAGCTCCTAACGTGGACCCAATCATTATAACCTTATAAAGGTCTTCCTTACTCACTTGTCGTTAGGACTTTATAAAGACTGACTTACTTAGGATTACCTTTCATTCACTCTATTAGGTCCTCCTCATCAACGTTAGGCGTGAACCTGATCAACGTTTCCAGTCGAGTTCACGCGTTTGCCCTAAATGTAACGCGTTTAAACGCATCGAGCGAGCTGATTCCAAGCGAAAGGGAGAAACGCACGGGGGAGGGGGGGAGGGGGGAGGAGCTCGGCCAAAAAGAACACTCAGATTCGGAGCGAACGCGGACAAGTTCGCCGCAGGACACGTCCGACATAACGTACGTACGTACGTACGGAGGACGGAGACTCGCCGGTCCGATGAATTTTTCATCACGATATGCCGCGTAATGGCGGACGAAATCTGGAGTAGCGGGCTAATTAACCGCGCGATTTGCACAATGCGCGACGTAACGAGTGCGACACGCTCGCAGCGTGCCGCGACGGCGGCGGCCTGCGCCCTGCCGAATCCAGCGCCGCTGAAATGTGTGTATTTTTCGTCATTATCGCCATTTCGCAATTATACGCCATTCAGAATGAACAATCCACAATCACGACTTGACTAAAACGCCGTTCTCGAGTGCCAGCCGCTCTCTCATTGCGAGCGCCGACGAGCGCGCGCCGCGCGCTCTCTCCGTCTCTGTCCTCGTCGCAATCACTCAACTACCGAGGATCTTACTCTCGACTAACTCAAACGGAAGTATCGTCTGTCCACCTAATCGCGATGGTCCCTTGCCCCCTCCCCTCCCTCTCTCTTTCTCTCTCTCCCTCTTATTTCACTGCGATCGTCAGCAAAATGTCGACGTCGACGGCAACGGAACGCGTCAGCCGCGCGACGAAACTTCGCAGGATCCCCAAAGTCGATTCTCGACGCAGGGCACCGAGTACTCGCGTCGTTCTCGTCGTCCTTGCGGCTCCTCGCAACTCGCGCCGCGTGCGCGACGAGAAAAGGAAGAGAAAGACCGGGGAGAAAGGGGAGTGCCGGTAAATCGCCAAACGGCTTGCCGCCGCTCCGTTAATCGGCCGATCGAATGGATCGCCGGATAACATCCTGGGATCTTGCGGACGCGCGAATCCTCCGGCGCGACCGCAAGATCCTTCCGTCTGTCTCTCTTCCGGCCGAAACGCCTCGCAGGCTGTCTTACGCGCGCCGCACACACAGGAAGACCTTTTTTCTCCATCCCTCGGAAAGTCGACGTGGACGCGGCGGGGTCGTCGGCTGACGATACCGGGGACGCGCGGCTTCAGGCTGGCGAGGGGGGCGCGGGGGAGGATAAGGGGGCAGGGTGGGCATCGTCGTCGAAGCACCGCTTCACATAAATATCCGCAGACACGCAGGTCGCGCGGGCCCGGCAAGAGCGCTTTTACCTGCTCCCGGTAATCGCGATGTGCATGCTTAATCAATATTCAAGTATTCAGCCGTGAGACACGCGGAGGGGGGGGGAGGGGGCAAGGGGCGACCATCTAACCCTCTCTCTTCGCTAACTCATCGGCCACCCTCCGCACCCTCGGCAAGCCCTGCGTCATTTCGCTACCTTCCGTCGCTCGCGAGCAATCGCTCTCCTCTCTTCTCCGCCCTCCCCTCCCCCGACAACCCTCCGATTCTCTCTCTCTCTCTCTCTTTCTCAGTCCTTTGCACTTTGTCTCTTCGGTGGCTTTCCGCCGAACAGGAATGCGCATAACCACTTTCGTGTCTCCGGTGTCCTCCACCCTCCCCCGCCGCCTCCTCATCTTGACGGCGATATACCTCCTCAGACAATTATGAGCCAGGGGTGGGATGCTCAGGCAACAGGAGGCAACGACAGGCACAGGGAGAGCCACGGGGGCGAAAGAGACAAGCAGGCCAACGTTAGGGTGGAGGACAGGAGCCAGAGGGGAAGAGGGCGAACCGCGCACGCTAG